GCTTACGCAGAGTTGATTGCTTCGTCGCTTGGACGAGGGGCAGTTGTTGCAGATTTGTCCTAGTCGAGGGAGAAGCCGTGCGCTGTGGTATCGCGGCTTTTCGTAGCCGGTTGTCCAGGTTGGACTGGTTGGGAAGTGGTTCCCGCATCGCCTTTGCGCAGATCTTGGAGTTCTTTCTCCATTGTTGACAGTCGAGCGAATAACTGCTCGAGGGCGGCAGTGCCGATCGTGGTTGTCGCCTCATTTGTCGCAGCCGGGTTGGTTTGTCCTTCGGCCGTTAGATTTGTTTGGCCTCCGGATCCTCCGGCCATCTTGGTCTTGGATCGTGTGCCGCTCGCCAGATCTTGGTTTGGCGAATTTTACGGAAGTAACGTTGCGAAGAATCCCTGAGCTGCTCTCATACAATGTTAGAATCTGAAGTGTGAAAAAGGATCGTTCAGGGTTGATCGCAGGTAGTGTCGCAGCGGAAGTAGTGAACTCAGGTCAGAGTGAATGTAAATGACTGAGATTGATAATAGCATGCATACATAGGGTTTATATAGAAATACAAAGGAATGCGAAACGACCTAGACTAGTCATGTACTCTAAGGGGTACATTCCCTTATTGAAATTCAAACCGTGCGGCGCGGGAATCAGTTTCAAACCTGTTCCCGCTCTTTTCACTTCAAATGTTTCTGCCTGCATCGGTCTTGATCAGACGGTTGCTGTGTCGCTTCGATTCTTCTGACTCCTCGACTTCGTACTCGATAGAGTCGGCTCCTGCAGCATACAGGAATGCCTTCTCATAAAACTTCATATCGTAACAGTTGGCACGCCCTCGATCTGTTGCGTTGGCAGGTCGCTTTTCTGCAATGCTGGCGCGGCTCTTCTACGCAACGCTGGCAGGCGATCGACCATGCAGTGCAGCCGGTCAACCATGTAGTGGTGACGGTCGACCAGACTAGTTGCATAGTTGTTAGATGCCTGATGTAGTCATTTCTTTCATTGTCATTGCCATCATTCTGTAATGCAATCTTTGCCTAATGAAACTCTTGCCAATTTCTCCCGTGAATGCACAAGCGCTAAGGAGCTAAGAAAAGCTACGACCATTCATAGTAGTTCGTGCCAACCCCCCCCCCCCCCCCCCCCCCCCCCCCCCCCCCCCCCCCCCCCCCCATCCCTTCCGTAGTCTAGTTCAGTACCTTGTGGAGTAAATCTCTGTACGAACTTAGGCTTATCGTGGTTCAATACTGAATCCCCGAATATACATTTCCGCCTTATAGAGCTTAGGTAGCTTGTGGGAGGAGGATGCTCTGTTGTACCTCATGTTGTACCTTTTTTTACATGAAAATACGAATTAATGTTAGACACAGATTTAATATTCGATGTTATATTTAGCATACTGGTATGCCAGTCGACGTAAGCTGGGCACAAGGTGTCCTGATAGCGTGATAACCTAGGAAGCTAGGTGAGGGTGTTGGGAGTAGCGAGAGGAAAGAGGTTCAATAAAGAGAAAGGGTACAATGATATAGGCAAGAGTTGGGGGTGCACCACCAACAGAAAGTATAACAAACTACAGCTACAGCTACAGGCACTTATAGATTTATATAAAATGTAAATCATGACACACCCCCTAAGTGCCTGCAGCGCATAGCAGTAGCAAGTCACACCCCCTGAAGGGGTACACCACGCAGGTGCAAGGCAGCAGGTGCAGTAGCGGTAGATGCAGGTGCGGAAGATGCACAGCCACGGTAAATGCAGCCATGGCGTGTGCAGGTGATGGCAGGTCGCCTGGAGAGCAGATGTGTGCGGCGGCAACGAGCGGCGGCACAAGCAGGGCTTCAACGGCAGCACCTGCCGCACCACCAGCAACAGGCAGCAGGAGCAATTACACGATGGGGGCAGATGGGGCAGCTGCAGGTTCCACGTTAGCACCAAGCAGCCATTGCAGATGCACGACGGGCAGGACAGAGGAGGAACAGCCGACAGAAAACAGGAGAGAGGAGGAGTCATGAGGAGGTGGCTGCGGCTGGTGCTGAAGCCATTGCTCCCACCACCTCCTCAACACCCCCCCCCCCCCCACAGCGACTGGCGCTGCAGGGAGAAAGAAGGGAGATGGGCAGCGGCTGGCGCTGCAGAGTTCCTCCCGCCACCCCTTCACCCTCCCCCCCACAGCAGGACGCACGGCCCAGTGGCGTAGGGCAGGAGCGGCGCGGGCACTGCTGCAGATCCCGCACGCCATCCACCCCCGCCTTCTCCCCAAACAGCAGTTTCCGCGGCAGGGCGTGCGACGGGCGCGCAGATGCGGCGGAGAATAGGGAGGGACGGTCGAGCAGGGGCAGGGCGCTGGCGGTTACTGCAGCCTTCTGGCCGCCACACCCTTCCCCCCTTCCTCCCCCTCACAGCGACCGACGCTGCCGACGTGCAGGGCCGCGACAGGGGGGGAAAGGTTAGGGGGGTCGGACGAGGGTGCGACGAATCCGCATCGGTCGCAACCGAGGCCGCAAACGCTCTGGCGCAGCTCGCCGCCGAGACCGTTTCGACAGTCTCGACAGTTGCAACCGTCGTAACTATGGCCACGACGGGGGCCGTGACCAGCGCCTTGAGCGGGGGGATACGTGGTGGGCCTATGGGGAAAAAAAAAAAAATAGGTCTTAGGACGACCTAGCTCTTAATACCATGTCGTGATAGCGTTAGAACCTAGGAAGCTAGGTGAGGGTGTTGGGAGTAGCGAGAGGAAAGAGGTTCAATAAAGAGAAAGGGTACAATGATATAGGCAAGAGTTGGGGGTGCACCACCAACAGAAAGTATAACAAACTACAGCTACAGCTACAGGCACTTATAGATTTATATAAAATGTAAATCATGACACAAGGGAGCATGGATAGGATTAAGAGAATAAAGAGAGATTATGATTATGTAAATTGACAAAGAAGCTTAGCGTATTTGGGTTCATTACCATCCATGTTTAGTTTGTCCATTTTACTTATGGAGATTATGCTTACGTTTTCTGTAAGGACACGTTACGCTGATGTGCTGAGCAGGGCTATTGCTAGGATTTTTGCTAGCTCGGACGATCCGGGCCCCTGTGAAAAAGACCCTGTAAAATCCGAGCCAGCGGGAAAAAAACCTTGACGAATCCGGGTTCGAGCCAGAAAAGGCCTGAAAACATGCATTACCAGGGCGGGAAACTCACAGTGGGTTGCGCGAGGGCTGGGGAGATTGGAGATGGAGTGGCTCTGGAGGGGTGAGCGAGATACTTTTTGTAGACTTAGAAAAAAATACGATGAGGAAGAGTACATCGGGAGAACAGGGCAATCAGACACTCTCTCCTTATTGGCCTTCTAAGCCATGTCGACGTAGAACGGGGCAATCAGACACATGGAGGCCAACAAGGAGAGAGTGGTTAGGAAATTCACTAAAATTGGCCCAACGTGTGTTTAGAGGGAGACCGAGAGGAATGCAAGGCAGGTCGGGGAGAACATGTCTGCTAAAATTATACGGGTCCCCTTGAGAACTCCCCGGAGAGATCCGAGCTGACTCAAAAATCACCCTTCAGTTTTACGGGCTGGTCCGGAAAAAACCTTGTGAAAATCAGGGCTCCTAGAAAAAACACCCTATAATTTCAGTCAAAACAGGGTAATTGCCCTGATAACTTAGGCCCTGGTGCTGAGCTGTGAGCCAGCTCATCGCCAGCTGGAAAATTTGGCTTACCCCTCTTATTTGAGGGGGAGCCGCAATGACGCAATGGTGGCCGAACCGTAAATGTACAGAATTTGCAGGTGGCTTGTGACAAGTGGTTCGGGAGGGAGGTTAGGTTACTGAAGGAGTTTGAACGGTAATCTCCAGATACGGTCGGCTCGCCTGTCTACGTACTTAGCGTTGTTTAGCGTTGTACAAGGTGGCCTGGCTTTAGTTTACGCCTTGTACACGCGGGGGACGCTAACACCCTCTCGCTGAAGAGCTGTCGGTAGGGATGAAGAGAATGTCAACCCACTGGAATCGCGTTCTGCCCTGATTGGTGGTCCTTCTGAGTCCTGATTCTGATAAAGTGCAGTACGGAATTTCAGTTGCCAAGTGGGGTGCTGTGGCATCTGGTAAAGAGAATGCTTTTTTTGCCCAAACGAGCCCCTTCTAGTGTATCTCATCCATATTTCAAATGTCAGAGGCATTCGAAGTACCAAAATAGATCCTGTATTTAGCTCTAATGCACTTCTCCACCCATAAACTCGTGGAACAGATTTGTGGAAAAATGTGCAGCGACAGTACAGTATGTGGAGGAATGAATTTCCGATCGGACGGAGTATGCTGCGTGCGTAATCTGGACGGAGTTTATGTACTGTAGTGCAGAACGTGCAATGAATAACAACGGGCCCACATGTCCTTTCCAAGATTAGTGCGAGTCGCACTGGCCGGCGAGCACCAAATGTGTATCAGCCAATCCTCGCCACCCTTTAGCATAATTGAGGAAGGGCTAATTTTTCGTTTTTAGAGATCCGGATGCCTCCGGGCCCCCCACGTAAACATACGTAAAATTCCGGATCCGTAGAAAGGCCACCCTTTCCGGTCCGGATTCTATCAAGGAGTACCCTGACTCGGTGTGTCTCTAAGGAACACCCTTTGGCCCATCAATTCGTAACTGCTGCAGAATACAAGTGAAGAGCACACATGAAGAATTCTCGAGAACATCTATTGAAGTTCCTGAAATGTCCCTAACAATCGAACAGGTACCCACTACACTGACTGTGAGTGCAAAAATCACAAGTAATTTGTGCTAAAATCACAAGCTGTTTCGGAACGCAGTTGCTTCTCACTCAGGGACGCGACCATTCGATTCCGGCACGAAAGTTTCTAAGGGTCACCCTACCATCCGGAGGTCTCTGAGAAACACCCTTTAAGAGTCCGGATGAGTTCGAGTTCGTCCCCCTCAAATTCCGGATCTCTGACGAAAACATCCGGAATGTCGACGAAATTCCGGATGTGCACCCTGCTACCGTGAGCCCTGAATTGAGGTCCTCGAGATGCACACTGTTTTACGATACAGGTAACGTACACAGGTCGGGTTTCTCAACGTTGGGATTGGGGGACTTACCAGTGCCGCTACGAGCTCGAAGTTCTAGCAATATTGCTAGAATACTCTGGAGTTCTCAGGAGGACTTTCAGGGAACAACTCTGCGATGCAGGTAGCAGGAATCGTTTTTCGCAGTGCGGTCACAAAGACGTGTCAGGCTCAGCTATCTTTGACATCCCTCGGACGATGATTAATGCGAGTCCTTCTTCGAGTCGCCTCGCTGAGCCCTTTTTTGGCACTGTTTTTTTTTACGATGCCTCCACTGTGCATCGACTCGAAACAGCTCAATTATGTTAGATTTTCACCTGTTGTAATGTAACGTTACCTTTAGCTAACGTTCAAAGGTTGGCTGCATTTGCTTCAACTTGTATTGTACGACATGATGCTTCCCTTAATCCTTCCGACAATTACCGACGACCCACTTAACGTTAAGACCGACCAACGACACAGTTACCACCCCAGTCTCGCAGCGGCAGCGACGAGAGCTTCGCACTTTCGTAGCCAATCGGAGTCTGCATTTGCCTTTGACCTGGAACGATCGGAAGGTGAGAACGCATCAGAGTGGGAAAGCGAGGATTGCGGCGGGAGCAGCGGCGGGAGCGGGTCGAAAGGAGGCATCGTTGAGGGCAGCAGATTCGTTCCTAACGCGCATCGCGGCTTGTCGGCGACAGCTAAGGTCGTCGTTAATGATTCCGCAGATAATCTTGCGAACCCCGAAGGCCAGCAAGACCAGGCAGCTCCTTTACCCAGCTCAAGAGCTTCGAAGCCGCAATCGCCGCTGCCACGTCATCGTCGGTACCGGTCAGACGACGCGTTCTCCTTCCACGAACCTTCCACGCGCGCTGCGGCGGACGAGTCTAGAAACACCGCCGGCAGTTTTAACAATAGTGGTAGTGGCGGCAACGGGCCGCGTGGCGGCGGCGGTTCGCGCGGCGGCGGCGTGATGACGATGGTGCAGCGAGGAATGCAGTTGCTGAGTCCCAATGGCAAACTCGCCGCCGGAAAAGACGGCGGACGCGGCGGCGGACGAGGTGGACAGACTTTCAATAGTAGTAGTAAAACTACGGTCACAGGTGCTAGACATGCTACGTCTATAGACGCCGCTTCGGATGATGGCAGCACGACTAGGTCGTCAGCTAGTGCTCGCTCGCCGACAAGCCCTTCTGATGGTAACCGCGACGCGGTTAGAGAGTCAACGGAAGCAGACGCTGTTCAACAAAAGTCGCCAGGGTCAACGACGTCGCCGACGGGGTCAACGACGTCGCCGACCGGGTCAACGACGTCGCCGACGGGGTCAACACGGATCGCCCGGAACACGGTTGTCCTGTCTGGCGCTGCGGCCGCGGCGCGGAAAAGAGGGTCGAGCCGCGGGGGGTCGATCTGTCAGGAACTGCTGCCGAGCCTGTGGGAGGAGGAGGACGAGCGCGCGGAAGGAACGGCGGCGGGCGCGGGCGATCGCGCAAAAAATCGCGGCGCGACGGGGACGCCGGCGGAAAATGCAGAGGTGGCGGAGGAAACGGAGGCGGGATTTACTGGCGACGGAAGGGACAGATATGACTATTATGCGCGGAGGAAAAGCGGAAGCGCGATTCCGCGGAGTAGGGAGCGATGGCAGGCGGAGGACGAGGCGGGAAGAGTCCCCGCTGCCGCCGCCACCAACCCCGCTACCGCCCCCGCCTCCCCCTCCGCCTCCGCCATTCCGCGTGTTCCGAGCCCCACGGGGCTTCCGCCGCGGCCGATGTCCCCGTCCGACGCAGATCCGTTACAGTCACGGCACGCGCAAATGTCCCCCACTACCTCCCCCCCCAACCACCGCCGAACGCAGAGCAGCGGAACCTTTCTCTGGGGGGCCGGAATGATGGGGGGACTTCCGCCCACTAGCCCCCGAACCAGCGCGTTTGGCGCGGGTTTTGCAGGCAGCGGCGCGCATTTGCCCCCGCTGAGCCCCAGGGCGGGCGGAAGAGGGGGCGGCGGGGCTTGCCATTTGCCCAGCCCCATTGGGCGGAGCAAAACGACTGGCGGAAGCTCCTCAAGGGTTTCCGCGGGTGGGCCACTCGCTGACGTGGCTAGCCTCCCCAGAAGCCGTACTTCGTACGCGGCGATGGGGGAAGGCGGAGGGGGAGGAGTAGGGGGAGGAGGGGGAGCGGGGGGAGGGGGACGTGTGGGGATGGGGGGAGAAGGCAGGGCAGCGGGCGGAGGGGGGCACTTCCCGATACTGAATCGGGGGAAGGGCACAGGCGGAGGGGGCGGCGGGGTGCCTCGAAGCGCGAGCAGCGGGAACGTGGCGGGGATGGGGCAGAGTGGCGCAAGCATGGGGTTTACCCCCACCATGGGTACAGTGCTTGATCCCAGCATGGGGGGAACAGGGGTGCCTCGCAGCGCGAGCAGCGGGAACGTGGCGGGAATGGCGCAGAATGGTGCGGGCATGGGGGTGAGCGGTGCGGGAATGGGGTTTACCCCCACCATGGGAACAATGCTTGATCCCGCGCGGGGGGGAAGCGGGGTGCCTAGAAGCGCCAGCAGCGGGAATATGGCGGGGAACATGGGCGGCAGCATGGGCGGCAGCATGGGCGGCATGGGCGGCATGGGGTTCACTCCCACCATGGGTACGGTGCTTGGGAGTGCAGGAGTGCCTAGAAGCGCGAGCAGCGGGAATATGGGCGGCATGGGCGCCAGTGGCGCAGGCATGGGCGGGAGTGGCGCGGGAATGGGCGGGAGCACCACGGGCATGGGCGGGGGTGGCGCAGGGACAAGGCTCAGTGGGTTGGGATTGGGTTCACCTGGTGCGCATAAAGGGGGCGCGCACAGGAGAACAAGCAGCGTTAGCAGCGGCGGTGCTGGTGGTGGTAGTATGCAGCAGCATGGGTACAGCCTGAGCAGCCCTAGAAACACGGGCATCATAGGACGACACAGGAGATCGGCCAGTACAAGTCACCAGCCAGATCCCACCTCCACGAACCTTCCTGACAGCAGCAGGCCCAAGGGATTCCGGGCGCCGAGAATCGTGCTTCCCCATCATGACAGCATCAGCCCTGCCACGTCACCGCACTCCACCAGCCCACGTGGCAGCAGCAGCCTCGCTCCCGGTGACACGTCACTCAAGTCGCCCTACACCAGCCCGCCCAATGCCAGTCCACTTGGCACTCCGCCCTCCCCCAGTTACCGCCTCCCTCCCCATAAAGCTTCTGCGTCTGCTGCTGCTCATGCCATGTCCTCTGGAGTGCGTGTGCTAGGACCAGCACAGTTACTTGGAGGTTTTACAACAGCAGTAACAGGAGCAGCAGGAGCAGCAGGAGAAGCACCAGCCATCCCAGCGACCTTTTCTCGCTCTCCAAGGCACCGAAGCCCCACTGTGCTCAGCCCGAGCCTCCGCAGCCCGAGCCTGCACAGCCCGAGCTTCCGAAGCCCGAACCTGAAAAGCCCGAGCCTGCCCAGCCCCGGCGTCATCCGAACCGGCAGCTCAAGTCCGGGAGGCAACGCAGCGAGCAACTTAATCGGGTTCTCCTCGCCAACTTACCTCCCTAGTCCAGCCTCCTCGGCATCTTTAAATGCAAATAGCCCATATGCGAATTACCCGTATACCCCAGGAGGGGGCAGTGTGGTGCATAGTCCTCAATCCATGGCTGCTCTTGCAGAGAGGGACAAGCAAAAGCTGGCCGAAATCCAGAGCTTCTTTGCTTCGGGAGCTGGTGGGTTAGCTTCGGGAAGGCGAGGTTCGGGGCAGTGGGGGTTGGGGGGAAACACGCCGCTCCAGTCGCCCAGGCCCGGAATCTCCCCCAATACCTCCCCTCCTGTCAATTCACCCTCGAAAGGAGGAGGAGGGAGAGGAGGAAGAGGAGGGAAGAAGGGAGGCATGGGGTTGTTTCTGGGTCCGATTCGCACGCCCAGTCCCAGTGAGTATTACCGGGTTGCTTCGCCTGCTGGTGGGTGGATGGGAGGGGCTTGGGGACGAGGGGAGGGAGAGCAGGAGGAGGAGGGCGAGGAGGGGGAGGAGAGTGAGGAGGGTGAGGAGGGCGAGGAGGGTGAGGAGGGCGAGGAGGGTGAGGAGGGCGAGGAGGGTGAGGAGGGCGAGGAGGGTGAGGAGGGCGAGGAGGGTGAGGAGGGCGAGGAGGGTGAGGAGGGTGAGGAGGGTGAGGAGGGTGAGGAGGGTGAGGAAGAAGGGGAGGAGGAGGACTGGGGGAGGTACATGGGTGGAAAGGCGTATGAGGTGAATGAGGAATGGGAGGGTGAGGAAGAGGAGGGGGAGGAGGGAGCAGCAGACGCAGCAGGAGCAGGAGGAGCAGCAGAAAAGGCAGCCAGTGCGGAGGAAGGAGACAAGGCAACAAGGGAGCAGGGAGATGAGACTATAGAAGCTGTAGCAGCAGCAGCTATCGCTGCCGCACAAGGGAAGGCGGCTGCAACGGCCGCTGTGAAAGCAGCAGGAGCAGCAGGAGCAGCAGGCGAAGCTCTTAGGAAGGAGATGGCAGGGGGCAAGCACGGAAAGACAGACGTGAAAGCGATGGTGCTGGAAGGAGCAGGAGGAGGAAAGGCAGGCGCTAAAACCACGGTACAAGCAGGAGCAGGCGAAGCTGCCAAGAAGGAGACAGCAGGAGTCACCCAAGGGCTGAAGGAAGGAAAGTCGGACGTGAAAGCGATGGTGCAGGCTGCTTTGGAGGAGTGGCGGAGGAAGGAGGAGGCGGCCATGCAGCAGCAGGCAGCGTCTGTGCTGGGCAGGGGACTGTCGGACGTGCGCAAGGTGTATCAGCTGGGGAAGGAGCTGGGGCGGGGCAACTTCGGGGTCATCAGGGAGGCGGTTGACTGGGTGTCTGGCGAGCGGTTTGCGTGCAAGAGTGTCAACAAGAAACGACTGGAGGTAAGATGGTGTGGGTGGCAGACGTGTGTGGGACGTGCGGGGCGTGTTTCAGCTGGGGACAGGAAGGCAGCTGGGGCGGGGTGAGGGACAGTGGGGAGAGGGAAGGAGTTGCGGCGTGGGTCTGTCAGATGTGTGGGGGGTGTATTTGGGAACCACTTTTGAGAATTCTCAAAAGTGATGCTCGGGGGGTGTACCAGCTGGGGAAGGAGCTGGGGCGGGGGAACTTCAGGGTCATCAGGGAAGCTAAGGATTGGGTGTCTGGCGAGCGATTCGCGTGCAAGAGCGTAAAAAAGAAACGACTGGAGGTAAGATGGTGTGGGTGGGAGGGGTGTGTGGGACGTGCGGGGGGTGTACCAGCTGGGGAAGGAGCTGGGGCGGGGGAACTTCGGTGTGATGAGGGAGGCGAAGGATTGGGTGTCTGGAGAGAGGTTTGCGTGCAAGAGTGTCAACAAGAAACGGCTGGAGGTGAGGGGAAGAGCGGAGGGAAGAAGGGGGGGGGAGAGGGGAGGGGTGGGAGTGGGTGAAGGAAGTAAGGTTTGTGTGAAGGGACCCAGTTGTTTCGGTCCACCATTCCCCACCATTCATCACCATTCCCTTCCCTCCCCTTGTCTCGAAACAACTACCCTACCCTCTACCCTCCCCTTGCTCCCTGTGCCAGTGTTTGGGCGATTTGGAGGATATGAGGAGAGAGGTGGAGGGTGATGCGATTGCCAAAAGAGACGCCGTTTGCTTATAACCCCTCTCAATTCCTTCTTATCCTCTTCTCCTTCTCTTGCCCCCCCAACTAACAGTGTTTGGACGATGTTGAGGATCTGAGGAGGGAGGTGGAGGTGATGCGGTTGCTCAAGGGGCACAACTAGCTCAAAACAACCCCTCATCGCAACCCATTCCGTCCTCCCCTCCCCTCCCCCCTTCCCCCTCATGTTTCCCTTGCCGCCTGTGCCAGTGCCTGGACGATGTTGAGGATCTGAGGAGGGAGGTGGAGGTGATGCGATTGCTCAAGGGGCATCCCAACATAGTGTCGCAGGTTGATACCTACGAAGATGACACGGTGAGTTGATGATACTGGAGATGAAACGGAGGGTTGACACCACCGGAAGGTAGGGTCAAAGTGTTCTGAACGAATAACACTGATTCTCAAGGCCGCCTAACAACAAAGGCCGGCTAACAACAAAGGCCGTCTAGCAACAAAGGCCGGCTAACAACAAAGGCCGGCTAACAACAAAGGCCGTCTAACAACAAAGGCCGGCTAACAACAAAGGCCGTCTAACAACAAAGGCCGGCTAACAACAAAGGCCGGCTAACAACAAAGGCCGGCTAACAACAAAGGCCGGCTAACAACAAAGGCCGGCTAACAACAAAGGCCGTCTAACAACAAAGGCCGGCTAACAACAAAGGCCGGCTAACAACAAAGGCCGGCTAACAACAAAGGCCGGCTAACAACAAAGGCCGGCTAACAACAAAGGCCGTCTAACAACAAAGGCCGGCTAACAACCAAGGCCGTCTAACAACAAAGGCCGGCTAACAACAAAGGCCGTCTAACAACAAAGGCCGTCTAACAACAAAGGCCGTCTAACAACAAAGGCCGTCTAACAACAAAGGCCGGCTAACAACCAAGGCCGTCTAACAACAAAGGCCGGCTAACAACCAAGGCCGTCTAACAACAAAGGCCGTCTAACAACAAAGGCCGTCTAACAACAAAGGCCGTCTAACAACAAAGGCCGTCTAACAACAAAGGCCGTCTAACAACAAAGGCCGTCTAACAACAAAGGCCGGCTAACAACCAAGGCCGTCTAACAACAAAGGCCGGCTAACAACCAAGGCCGTCTAACAACAAAGGCCGTCTAACAACAAAGGCCGTCTAACAACAAAGGCCGTCTAACAACAAAGGCCGTCTAACAACAAAGGCCGTCTAACAACAAAGGCCGTCTAACAACAAAGGCCGTCTAACAACAAAGGCCGTCTAACAACAAAGGCCGTCTAACAACAAAGGCCGTCTAACAACAAAGGCCGTCTAACAACAAAGGCCGTCTAACAACAAAGGCCGTCTAACAACAAAGGCCGTCTAACAACAAAGGCCGTCTAACAACAAAGGCCGTCTAACAACAAAGGCCGGCTAACAACAAAGGCCGTCTAACAACAAAGGCCGGCTAACAACAAAGGCCGTCTAACAACAAAGGCCGGCTAACAACAAAGGCCGTCTAACAACAAAGGCCGTCTAACAACAAAGGCCGGCTAACAACCAAGGCCGTCTAACAACAAAGGCCGGCTAACAACAAAGGCCGTCTAACAACAAAGGCCGTCTAACAACAAAGGCCGTCTAACAACAAAGGCCGTCTTAAAAACAAAGGCCGTCTAACAACAAAGGCCGTCTAACAACAAAGGCCGTCTAACAACAAAGGCCGTCTAACAACAAAGGCCGTCTAACAACAAAGGCCGTCTAACAACAAAGGCCGTCTAACAACAAAGGCCGTCTAACAACAAAGGCCGTCTAACAACAAAGGCCGTCTAACAACAAAGGCCGTCTAACAACAAAGGCCGTCTAACAACAAAGGCCGTCTAACAACAAAGGCCGTCTAACAACAAAGGCCGGCTAACAACAAAGGCCGTCTAACAACAAAGGCCGTCTAACAACAAAGGCCGTCTAACAACAAAGGCCGTCTAACAACAAAGGCCGTCTAACAACAAAGGCCGGCTAACAACAAAGGCCGGCTAACAACAAAGGCCGTCTAACAACAAAGGCCGGCTAACAACGAAGGCCGGCTAACAACAAAGGCCGGCTAACAACAAAGGCCGTCTAACAACAAAGGCCGGCTAACAACAAAGGCCGGCTAACAACAAAGGCCGTCTAACAACAAAGGCCGGCTAACAACAAAGGCCGGCTAACAACAAAGGCCGGCTAACAACAAAGGCCGTCTAACAACAAAGGCCGGCTAACAACAAAGGCCGGCTAACAACGAAGGCCGGCTAACAACAAAGGCCGGCTAACAACAAAGGCCGGCTAACAACAAAGGCCGTCTAACAACAAAGGCCGGCTAACAACCAAGGCCGTCTAACAACAAAGGCCGGCTAACAACAAAGGCCGGCTAACAACAAAGGCCGGCTAACAACAAAGGCCGTCTAACAACAAAGGCCGTCTAACAACAAAGGCCGTCTAACAACAAAGGCCGTCTAACAACAAAGGCCGTCTAACAACAAAGGCCGGCTAACAACCAAGGCCGTCTAACAACAAAGGCCGGCTAACAACAAAGGCCGTCTAACAACAAAGGCCGTCTAACAACAAAGGCCGTCTAACAACAAAGGCCGTCTAACAACAAAGGCCGTCTAACAACAAAGGCCGTCTAACAACAAAGGCCGTCTAACAACAAAGGCCGTCTAACAACAAAGGCCGTCTAACAACAAAGGCCGTCTAACAACAAAGGCCGTCTAACAACAAAGGCCGTCTAACAACAAAGGCCGTCTAACAACAAAGGCCGTCTAACAACAAAGGCCGTCTAACAACAAAGGCCGTCTAACAACAAAGGCCGTCTAACAACAAAGGCCGGCTAACAACAAAGGCCGGCTAACAACAAAGGCCGGCTAACAACAAAGGCCGTCTAACAACAAAGGCCGGCTAACAACAAAGGCCGGCTAACAACAAAGGCCGGCTAACAACAAAGGCCGGCTAACAACAAAGGCCGTCTAACAACAAAGGCCGTCTAACAACAAAGGCCGTCTAACAACAAAGGCCGTCTAACAACAAAGGCCGTCTAACAACAAAGGCCGTCTAACAACAAAGGCCGTCTAACAACAAAGGCCGTCTAACAACAAAGGCCGTCTAACAACAAAGGCCGTCTAACAACAAAGGCCGTCTAACAACAAAGGCCGTCTAACAACAAAGGCCGTCTAACAACAAAGGCCGTCTAAAAAACAAAGGCCGTCTAACAACAAAGGCCGTCTAACAACAAAGGCCGTCTAACAACAAAGGCCGTCTAACAACAAAGGCCGTCTAACAACAAAGGCCGGCTAACAACAAAGGCCGTCTAACAACAAAGGCCGGCTAACAACAAAGGCCGTCTAACAACAAAGGCCGTCTAACAACAAAGGCCGTCTAACAACAAAGGCCGTCTAACAACAAAGGCCGGCTAACAACAAAGGCCGTCTAACAACAAAGGCCGGCTAACAACAAAGGCCGGCTAACAACAAAGGCCGTCTAACAACAAAGGCCGGCTAACAACAAAGGCCGTCTAACAACAAAGGCCGTCTAACAACAAAGGCCGGCTAACAACAAAGGCCGTCTAACAACAAAGGCCGGCTAACAACAAAGGCCGTCTAACAACAAAGGCCGTCTAACAACAAAGGCCGTCTAACAACAAAGGCCGTCTAACAACAAAGGCCGCCTATGAACGCCACCGCAAGCTCACGTTATGAGTCGACTCAAAACACGGCTCAAGGCCGTCTATCAACTCCAGTGCAAGCTCGCGTTTTAAAAGGATGTTCTTGAGACGTCTCAAAAATAACACTTCTCAAGACGGATAGACGGATACCAGTTGTAGACGGATTCTCAAGGAAGTCTATCAAAGCCACTGCATGCTCACTTCTGAGGCACCTAAGAAATCGGACGCCCACACTAGTCAAGGCTTTCACTAACACCACCTCAAGCTCACAGCCGTTCCCCTTGTGCTCATCGTTCTGTGTGCCCCATATACTTTCAAGAACCCTCTTATCAAAGCAAACGTAGGCCCACAACCTCATGTCATGAACTCACAACCTCTCATCTCATGAACTCACAACCTCATGTCATGAACTCACAACCTCATGTCATGAACTCACAACCTCTCATGTCATGAACTCACAACCTCATGTCATGAACTCAGAACCTCATGTCATGGACTCACCAACCCTGTGCGGGCGCATCAACATAGCAAGCCGTGGTGCCGTGGCCCTCCTCTCCTCTCAACATCCCGTGATATCCCTTTCTCCACCCTCCCCCCCTTCTTCTTCCAGGACGTGCACATAGTGAAGGACCTGTGCGAGGGGGAGAGCTCGTTGACCGCATCGGTCAAAGTGAACTCCTCTTGCGAACCCCATTCAAAGACCTCGTTTCCTCTTATCCCTCCCACCCTCTCCCCCTCCCTTCCAGGACGTGCACATAGTGATGGAGCTGTGTCAGGGCCGAGAGCTCTTTGACCGCATCGTCCCCCGCAACCACTTGCAAACCCTGCCTCCCTTTTCTTCCCCGCCTACGCCCACCCACTTACACCCCCCTTCCTCTCTACCCCACTCCAGGACGTGCACATACTGATGGAGGTGTGCGAAAGGGGAGAGCTCTTTGGTCGCCCGTTTGAACCATTCCCAGCACCCTTCTCCCCTCCCCCCCTTCTTCTTCCAGGACGTGCACATAGTGATGGAGCTGTGTGAGGGGGGAGAGCTCTTTGACCGCATCGTCGCGCGCAACCACTTCAGCGAGAGACAAGCAGCACAGGTAAGCTACAACCTTGTGTGCTACTCTCTATCTTGTTTTGTTTTGTTTTGTTTCGTTTTGTTTTGTTTCTTTCTTTCTTTCTTTTGCGATGACCAGAGTCTGGAAACCATGCAGGTGTGCCTCACGCCTAACCAGGTGAGCAGATTTTGCTCTTCTTCTGTGTCTGAATTCACCCTGCTGGATCTTTCGAGAAGACCTCAGAAAATCCACGAGTGAGATTGAAAACACGACTGGTATCCCAATACTCGTGCCAACTCACCGTGACATGCTTTTCTCCTGCTTCCTCCCATTCAAACCCATACAGGTATGCCGCACCCTGGCCGACGTGCTGCGCTACTGCCACTCCCACCACATCCTGCACCGCGACTTAAAGCCCGAGAACGTGCTGCTGGTCTCAACCCGCAGCGACACGCGCGTGAAGGTGATCGATTTCGGCATGGCCTACCGCTTTCAAGAAGGAGAGCGCTGCACGCAACGCGCCGGCACTCCCAACTACATCTCTCCAGAGGTTATCGCGAAAAACTACGGCACCGAAGCAGATGTGTGGAGCTTGGGGGTGATTCTCTACGTGATGCTGTGTGGGCTGCCGCCGTTCTGGGGGGACACAACAGAGGAGATTTTTTCGAGCATTCTGTACGAGCCGTTGGATCTGGAGACCGAGCCTTGGCCGGACGTGTCTGCCGCAGCTAAGGACCTGGTTCGGCGAATGCTGTGCCGGAGGTTCGACGAGCGGATTACTGTGCCGGAGATACTGAGTGAGTTGGGGTTGGTGTGTGGGCTGTTTGTGGGTCTGATTGCAAGGCTGACTGCAAGGTGTTGGAGATACTGAGTGAGTAGGCATTGTTGGTGTGTGCGCTGTTTGTGGGGCTACTAGCAGGGCTGCTTGCGTTGCTGCGCTCGCTCCCCTTTCATTCATCAGAGTTCCTTCCCACGGCATTGTGCTGTGCTGTGGGTGCTGTACCGGCATGTGCCGTATTGTGCTGTGCTGTGAGGTAGTGACTGAGTCCTTTTTGGTGTGTAGGCTACCGTATTTGTGATGTTTCCTGCTTGCTTGCTCTACCTGCTTGCTTGCTCACCTCATGAATCCACGTTCCCACTCTTATTGTGCTGTGCCTTGCCGTGCTTGGCTGTCCTTAACTCATTTTCCCCCCTCCAACCTCCTCCCCCCACCCTATTCCTTCCCTGTATCCCTCATCTCGTCTCCTATGCTATCCCCATGTCTGGACCGTGCAAACCTGCACTGCCAACACCATTTCAATTCTGGACCGTGCAAATCTGCACTGTTGATTGGCAACTCATTTCATATTATGATGCAACAGAGCATCCATGGATTAAAGCCCTCACATAAGGTGCTTGAGCCAGGGGCCATCCCCACATGATAGCTGGAACGATTTCCTGCCAATCAGATTCGAGCAGTGAATTTTGGAGAAACAAAAGTTCCTGCGTTATGCAGCGTCTGTTAGTCAAGTTGATCATATGAGGTCGTATGCTCAGGAATGACATAGACTACCCAGTATTAAAATGTTACCTATGCATTATTTGGGGCTAGTGAGCGTTGTCCTGACTTGTTACACTTGTACGACCTAGGCTGAAAACACTACACTGTTTATGGATGCTAAATTGACACATACTTTAGGGCGTGTGTGATTTTTTTAAAACTGTCAAAGTTCGAACCCGAACCGCTTTACACCGTTGCTAAATATTTCTTAAACGTACCCTACCGTGTAGAACCTCTGTATAAGTTCGAACTTTGGGAAGTTCGAAAAAAAATCACTACCTAAACGTGCTCGTCCATCCAACAAAGCGATCGGAGCGCAGTGCACCCATGTGATACGTACGTTTCATCCCCCACATACAGTAGCAGAAGCAAAATCCAGAAATACTACAGTCAAGTCCCTTTACAAAAGCACGAGGTAGGCAGGCGGCATGTGAGTGAGGGTACGTTCCTGGTTAGTGTCAAGCTTCCAGTCATCCGCGGATGACTGGAGTTGGACCCACTTTGGGCCATCCGAGACCAACTTCGGGTCTTCCGGCCAAAAATTGCCCCTGTTTCCGGAAGAACTGAAGTTTGACAGGAAGTTTGACCCAAAGCAAGCTTGACACGGGCCAGGAACGTACCCTGAAACGTGTTTTATTAGTTCGCTCACTCGCGAACGCTTTCGCCCCCACGGCCCCGGGCAAAAAAGGGACTCAAAAATGAAAGTGCAATGAAAGTGGAATGTGGGGCTTTAATTTCGTAACCAGGTCACCACTTTTGGTGACGTGGATCCTTTGTTGTTTGTGCACTGTAGATGTTGACTTCCGCACATAGGTGACTGTACAACGAAAATATCATATTGCTCAATTCAGTCACCCCTCGGGCAAAAACGTTCGCCAGTGAGTAAATTTGTAAGAGTGATGAGCAATTGTTTTGTGATAGGTGAGCATCGACTGTACTGTACATGGAACGTCTGCCCTGTTGAATCCGCGCAGTCCCAAAACGGTCCCAAAGGAGGAGCCGCATTCGTGCCTCCAAATAAACCGCGTTTGTGGTTGTGCTTCTTCCAATCGTTAGTGTTTGTGGCACATTCCCTGCTTCTTACTCTGAGGCGCAATGGTTGAAAGGGTGAAGCAGATCGGATGTAAAATAACGTGATTTGCGAATGTTGTAAGAGTTTGAGAGAAAGGAGAAGCCTGCACACTGACAGCCAGCAGCAGTTTCAGTTCAGCTTGAGCTGGGTAAATTGGACCCTCAGAAAGACCGAGGCACGCTCGCAGATGAACGTCTGTGCAGTATCTAGGACCAACGCGATAGTTCCTACAGTACCAGGTGACATGTCCCCCCACGAAACAAACACCATCGCTTCGACGCTTCGCGCTGCTCCTGACTGGTACAGAAATAAGTTTTTCTTCCGACCGAGGCGCTTGCACGATTGGTACTGACAGAAGCACGCAGCAATGCCACACTCGACATGACATAGGAGTTACTTACATGTTGCTGAACGTCACGCCCGCATGCCACACCCCGCGTCCTCGTTCATATTTCGTTCGCTCCATAGCTATGCGACGATCTGCAACCTACGCTTAAGAAGGGGAGAACCATAGCATTGCGACTTCTGGGTCGACTCTAAACTGATCGATAGCTTCTTAAAAGGCGGAGCTTCAACTGTGTATAGGGGGATGGAGGAAGATCAGCTGACGATACTCGTAGAGTCACGGGATGGCGACAGCGCTGCACAACAGGCAACAACCGTTGTCGCTCTTCATAATACATCCGACCTCGCAGGCAGGCCGCGCGCCGACGCCGACGATGGAACCGCATGGGAAAGCGGATTTTCCGGCGACGCGCGCGACCGTTCACGGCAAGGCTCCAGCAATGGCACGTCAGCAGACAGTGAAGCGGAGCGGAATGGAGTGCTGCATGAAACAAACAGCCAATTGTCGATGCTCTCCGGTCCAGGCAGCAAAGTCGCAGGCGACGCCAGCGACTACGGCGGCGACGGCGACGACGACGAGGGCGACGGCGTCGGAGAGGACGCGGACTTGAAAGTAAAAGACATCGAGGCGCCAATCCGCGTGCGACGCGTGGATTTCAACGCGGAAAGCGAGAACCATTACGTGATCGTGATCCACGGGACGTTCGACGCGCCGCCGGCTGACGGCGCGCCGACGTGGTACCAACCGCCGCCTCCCGGCGAGCAGAACTTTTGCCGGAAGCTCAGCCGGCTGCTCGCGCTGGGACCCATCGGGGAGGATGCCATCTGGCGCGACCTGCCGTGCTCCGCGCTCCCGGGAATCCCGTACCCTTTCCACTGGGACGGCACCAACACGCACGCCGGCCGCGTCACCGCCGCTATGAAGGTGAGTGGAGGAAATGAGAGGACGGTGAGCGGAGGAGGGAGGGGGGAGGTTGGGAGGTGAAGTGTGTGGGGAGTTGGCGTCGCCGCGTAGTGGTCGCGAACAAGGTTAGAGGAGAATGGGGAAGAAAACGCCGGCGAGCCGTCAGGGAGTCGCCAGAGAGTCGTCAGGGAGTCGCCAGAGAGTCGTCAGGGAGTCGCCAGAGAGTCGTCAGGGAGTTGCCAGCGAGTCGTCAGGGAGTTCAAAGATCCAAACCTCTCTCTGGTGACAAATAGCGCTCGCAAATCAGCGTGCGAATGACTATGACCTCACATGTCCAGTGTGTTTAGAACGACTACCCACTCTTGGCAGCGTGCTTCGTTCGGATATTCCCGATTCGCCTGTCAATAGAATAATAACAACCCTAAAACTGTTCGTAATATTCCTCCTTTTTTTTACTTACTATTGGACCCACAATATCTACAAATATATACTACAATATCTTTCCTTGGACCTTGCCCCCACCTACCCTCCCACAGCTGCACAATCTGATCGACCAAATCGCTCAGAACGACCCAGCAGCTCGAATACACCTGGTGGCGCATTCTCACGGCGGCAATGTCATGCTCAAAACCATAGAACTGGTAAGTGAAACGAGAGTTTCAGTGCATTTCTTGGAGGCACATACTCGCTTTCCTTGTTTATCACTCCGAGTGACCTTTCCCCCATTCATCGCTGCGCTCCCGCTTTGCTCCCTTCTCCGCTTCCCTGCCCACCCCCCCACCCCACGCACACCCATCCCCCTTTCACCCCCAACAGTACTTAGCGAAGATTGGGCGGCGGCAGAAGGGCGAGTGGCACCCGGCGGTGGAGAGGCAGTTTTGGGTGGCGCACCGGCGGAGCTACGAGCTGATCAAGAAGTGGCGGCGCATCGACATGCGCCAATCCTGGTGGCGCTTCTTCCCCTTCCTTGTCGTGTACCGAGGGTGAGTTGCTTTTCTAGGTTGGGGTGTGGTGTGTTCTGTGAGGGTGAGCAATGTTCCGAAGGTCGAAATTTAGTTGTGATTCGGAGGGTGGGTGGGTTGTAATTCAAGGGCGAAAGTGAGTGGAAATGAAACAGTCTCTTTGGCAATCAGTGCTCAACTTCTGGAAAGCAAACAGACACAAATTTGGTGATTATAGTAACAATCGTAACACCACCGTTGGTCACAATGTGAAATTTGTGGTTGGTAGGATTAATGAATGGGAACCATTGCGGTGCACTGATCAACCAATATTGTGCATGTTTGAGGGTTCACTTTAAATCGTAGATTTAGAATCCCAGCACAAGCATACACCCCGAGTGAGGCATACGTTTAACTCCAACAGTACACCATATCTTGTGCACAAGCACTTTAATTTAGCAGCCTATTATACATTCCCCCTTCAACCCACACCACAGTTTTAATGGGCAGAAAACAGTCGGAGTGAAGGAGAGTTACCCGTGGGCATACCACCAGTGGCTGGACTCGCTGCTGCGGCTGCCGTCAGTGCGGCAGCGGCGCTTCCTGGCGTTCCGCCATGCCACCTCGCCCATCACCAACGCCCTCGGCGCCCTCGTCTTCCTCGGCACGCCCTTCTACATCAAAAAGTGGCAGACCAACGGGCTGCTGTGGTTTGCGCTCTCCTTGGTCTTCTCGGTTGCGCTGATGTATGTCTTCATCATCGCCTATACGTCCTTCATCCAGTTCATCGTTCTGCTCATCGCCGGCCGCCTTCAAGAGTAAGTGGATGGGTTGGGTGCGGTGCAGTGCTGCTTGCGGTGGTTGTTAATAGTTGGGTTGGGTGGGATGTTGCTGGACTGGACCTGAGGTGGAGGGGTTGTGATGGGTCTGTAACCTGTTGGTGCTGCTCTTCTCAGTGGCGCGGATGTATGTCTTCATCATCGCCTACACGTCCTTCATCCAGTTCATCGTTCTGCTCATCGCCGGTCAGCTTCAAGAGTGAGTGGTTGGGTGCGGTGCTGCTGTCTCTGTGCTGGTTGGATCGGGTGCAGTGCTGTTTGTAGTGGTTGGGTGGGGATTGCTATCTTTGTTCTGCCTGGAATTGTATGGGGATGTTTCTGTCAGCGGTGGTGACATATGTCTTTATCATCTCCTACACGCCATGCCTCCTCTCACTCCTCTTCCAACCTCGCTTTCTGCTCTTCCTCGTCGCTCCCAGCATCTACACACAGTCCTGCACCCCTCACTTAATCGTTGCACCGTTTCTACCTCTTTTGCCCCATCGACCTCTTGCAACCTTGTTATGTGCTGTCCCGCTTTCTACACCCAGTGTACCCTCACATTCTCGAAGTGCTGTTTCTCTCTGTTTGCCCCACCCTCTTGAAACATTAAGTCCCTACCCATCACTACCCCCAGCTTCTACACCCAGTGTACCCTCACATTCTCGAAGTGCTGTTTCTCTCTCTTTGCCCCACCCTCGCGACACATTCCCTCTACCCTTCACCCGTCCCAGCTTCTACACCCAATTGGGCCTCACGGCCCTCACTTCCTCATTGCAACCTTTCCCTTTTCGTGTTCCTCCCCTCTTTTCTGCCATTCCACCCCCCTACCCCTTCTCCCACCACCCCTCCCTTTCCCCAACCCATCCCCAGCTTCTACACCCAATCAGGCCCTCACTTCCTCATCGCAACTTCAGTCATGCTTCTGGTGCTCATCAAACAAATCATGGATGTGAGTATTGCATGAGGAAGAGGGATGGAGTTGTCTGGATGTGAGTAGCGGACAGGGGGTAGTGTATGAGGGAACAGCGGGAGGTGTGTGTGCGGGAGTGGAGGGAGATTAGAGGCGAGTCAAGCGCCACTTTCTCATCGCAACCTCAGTCATGCTGCTGGTGCCCATAAAGCAGATCATGGACGTGAGTGGACTGTACTCAATAGAGGGAGGCATGGATGTGAGTAGAGGGAGGCATGGGTGTAAGTACAGGGCAGGGGAACATTTGAGTCAAAGCAAACGTCACTTCCTCGCCGCAACAGGAGTCATGAACTGTGCTCCATAGCTTCAGTATCTAGGCGACTTTTGAGTCTTTTGTGACTTCTCAAAACTCGGGTGTAAGTAGAGGACTTTTGAGACGTCTCAAAAGTCGTCTCTAGGTGACTTTTGAGTCAAGTCAGAAGTCACCACTTCCTCACTGCAACAGGATGCATGTACTGTGCTCCGTAGCTGCAGTCTCTCTCTACCATGACCCCTGCTCTCTTCCGCTTCTCTCCCATCTTCTGTCTTTCCTCTCCTCTCCTCCACTCCAAACATTTCCGCTGTCCCCCGCAGGCCGTGGGCAATACAGTGTTCTACAGCGGCAATCTCTACCACAACCCTTCGCTTCTCTCCTCTGCTTCTCTTACCAATTTCCGTTGCTCCTCTCCTCTCCTTCACTCCAAACCCTTCCTTACCCCTCCCAGGCGGTGGGCAATACAGTGTTCTACAGCGGCAATCTCTACCACAACCCTGCCTTTGATTGGTCACCTGCCATGTCAGCACTTGTTATCCATGCTGGCAAGCTAGACGAGGTGAGCTCTATTGCCTTGCCATCTTTTTTTGAGGCGCATCAAAATTCATCCACGCTGGCAAGCTGTACAAGGAAGGCGATTCTCACCTTCCCATCATCGCCATTTCCCCTTACCTCCCTCCTCCTCCTCTGCCCCCCTCTCCACCCTTTCAACCCAACAGGCCAGTCTAGCGCTATCCATGGAGCCAATCACGCGAGCCTACGTCTTCCCCCACCTGACAAAACTCCTGAAGCAGACCCCCTGGGCGCCCTTCCCCAAGCCCCCAACCCGCTACGCGCGCCAAGTCGACTGGTGGGCGTTCCTATTCCACTGCGCCATCATCCTCGTGTGGGACACACTGTTCTTCCTCCCAGCTGCTATCATGTCGGTTTGCTCGCACATCATCGCGCCGATTGTCACGGGAACGATTCAGAAGATGGTGGTTACGATCAGCTTTGGGCTGTCGGCCGGGGATTTAAACCACGCGTATATTTATGTGGATGAGCATCTGGATTTGGACCTGGCTACGCAACAAGTCGACCAATGGAATGTGCAGGTGTGTTTTCCTTTCCCTTCCCAGTTATCAACGACCTCTCTTCCCCAACTTCTCGTTTCTTTGTTCCTGATTAACTTGTAACTTCAATTCGTATGTATTCCGCTCTCTTTATGTTACATGCTTCTGTCACCCTCTACAAACACTGATAACAAGCTGGTGAAGGTTTTATTTACCTTCTATCATAAGCTGTATCCTAATCTTCCAAATATTGTACCAAACATATACGTAAAGTTTGAAGCTCTCTACTGTTCCGTAAAGTTATTGCAAATCATTGTTCTTCTTCCTGTCCGCAACCCCTTTCGCACTTCCCCCTCCCTCGGGATTCCCTTTCGCGCAAATCTCTCTCCCCCGATTCCTGTTCGCCCATCTTGTTCCCCCCTTATTCCTTACGCGATTTTCTTTTCCCCTGGCTGAAAGCCCCTCTCGTTTATCTCCTTCCCTCCAATTCCCCTTGTACGCTGGTCATTCGAACTTTCGACAGTAGTTTATCAACCCCCTGTCGAATATTCCATTCCGTCAAGTTCAACTAACAACGCCACAATCATTTTCTAGATACATGTTCTTTTTCGCCCCCCTCTAATAATACCAATGGCAGTCATGATGCGGAATTGGTGTGCAAATTTCGCTTCACTCTTGTCCAAGTCACTTCCGTTTATCAGTTTTCCCCTCCATCTTTCCCAAAACTATGTTCCGCATAATCGGCCAGCTTTATGCGTAACAAGGTAAACGAACACGTGTACATAAGGTTGTGGATGCCTTTCAGTGCATCAAATAATCCAACTCCAGTGGGGATGATTATGATGCAAACATGTCTCTCCTGCTGCTAGAATTCACCACGGATAGTCTGCAGCACTGTTACAACCATATAAACAACCATATTAAACAACCATATTTGTGTAATTTTAAATACAGTCCAGAAAATTATGGAGATAAGAGAATTCCACGCAATTGGTTAATTTATAGAAGTTTTGGAGGTGGAGTGGATGACGAGTAGTTATGGTGGGTGCTTCCAAACTGGTGCTTATGATGTTCGAGAACTCCCCCACTCCCTCTCCTCTCGCACCGGCTATGAGGATGACACTGTGGAGCAACCCGAGTGGCTAAGTGCAGTTCATTCTCCCACTCTCTTCCGTCTTCCTCTGCCTCTCATCCTTGCCTCACGCAACCACTCACTCGCCCTTCCTCTCCGCTGCTGCCTCCTCTCCTTCCTCCTCCCCCCTCCCCCCTCCCCCCTCCCCAGAAACTGCTGGCAGAGGCGAAGACCAAGTCACTCAAGGGAGAGTTGATGCCCGGCTACGAGGATGACACCGTGGAGCAACCCGAGTGGCTGGAGCCCGTATCGCACTCCCCCCACCCGCACGCCTTGCGCTCTCCTCTCCGCTCTCCCCGCTCTGCTGCTGCTGCTGCGACGTCTGTGGAGCTGAACCAGAGCAAGGACGGGGTTCACAAGCGCAAGGGGTTTCGAGACGTGGTGGAAATGCGGCTTGCGGCGGGTGTTGAGTCGCAAGGGGCTCAAAAGCCACCTCGGAAGGGGTTTCGGGGTTTGGTTGAGAGACGAATGGCGGGGAGATTTGGCACGAAGGCAGGAGAGGATGACGATCATGGCTGTCTCGTTACCCCGCCTGGTATGGAAGAAGCAGCAGCAGTGGCGGAGGAAATGGAGGAGGGAAGTGTGAATGAGGGAGAAGGGGCAGGTGTGGCGGAAGCTTCTGCAACTGCTGCTGCTGCTGCTACTGCTGTATCCAGTAGTGCTTTGGGTGGTCTCGACACCGCCTCTCCAAGCCCAGGGCTTGCTCTCTCCTCTGAGACACAGTCACATTTAAGCTCTCAAAAGGAGAGAATGGTGCCGGTGCCAGAAGCACCAGAGGACAGTGGAAAGGAGAAACTAGTGTACGAGTTTTTGTGGAATGATCAAGAGCTGGCAGTGATAGCGGAGCAATCACAGACCTTCCAGCGTCTCAAGTCCCAAATGAACAAAATCGGCCGCAACCCCCGGTTAAGCGAGCGCGAGTTTGAGCGGCAGTTGCAGCAGCTGTGCGTCATGATCGAGGAGCGGATGGGAGAGCTCACTGGCAAGTTCGACCTCAACCATGGCGCGTACTTCCGTGACCCGCGCATTCTCCGTGTGATCGCGCATTTCATTGAGAAAAGGGAGCTTCCGGAGTGGTCTAAGGACATGGATGGGGACATCTGGCGGTGGTGGAACGAGAATCTGGCAAAGATTCAATCGCAGCAGCTGCGGCAGATGGCATCTGGGAGCGGCTCGGGGGGAGCGGGGGGGGTGGGAGAGGGGGAAGCGAAGGAAGGAGGGGAGGGATTGGCAGAGGGAAAGAGCCGGACTGCCAGGCTGAAATCTATGCTGAAAAACATCCGTGGGGGGAGTTATAGGGAAGGGGGTGGGAGCACCAGGTCCAGAGCGGTGAATTTGGCGGATATAACTGAGTTGGCGGAGGGAGCGACGAAAGGAGCGACAAAATTGGCCGAAGGGTTGCTAGGTTCGGGTGGTTTTCGAAGCAAAGGTGCGAGCTTCGGCGTGCCCGGGGTGACTTTTGCGAGCGTGAATCCTAAAGCCATTGCAGCTCCGGATGAAAAGGTAGGTTCACCGATTTGATTGGCTGTGGGTGGAGTCTACACTGGTGTCTTGAGAGAGTTTTAGAGCGCAGTTTGCAGAGTCAGGTGATTCAGGAAGGACGCTGCAACAGCAGGAGCAGCAGCGCCAGCGGCAACAGTGGGTTGCCAATACTGGAGGTTGATGAGTAGAGGGGGATGATTGGTGATGAGCAGAGGGGAATGAGTGAGGATGAGCAGAGGGGGATGCGCGGTGGTTAGCAGAGGTATTCTAGTCCAAGGACAAGAGTAAGTCTCACGTGCATAGAGCACAGAGAGAGAGAGAGAGAGAGAGAGAGAGAGAGAGAGGGAGAGAGAGAGAGAGAGAGAGAGAGGGAGGGAGGGAGGGAGGGAGGGAGGGAGGGAGGGAGGGAGGGAGGGAGGGAGGGAGGGAGGGAGGGAGGGAGGGAGGGAGGGAGGGAGGGAGGGAGGGAGGGAGGGAGGGAGGGAGGGAGGGAGGGAGGGAGGGAGGGAGGGAGGGAGGGAGGGAGGGAGGGAGGGAGGGAGGGAGGGAGGGAGGGGGAGGGAGGGAGGGAGGGAGGGAGGGAGGGAGGGAGGGAGGGAGGGAGGGAGGGAGGGAGGGAGGGAGGGAGGGAGGGAGGGAGGGAGGGAGGGAGGGAGGGAGGGAGGGAGGGAGGGAGGGAGGGAGGGAGGGAGGGAGGGAGGGAGGGAGGGAGGGAGGGAGGGAGGGAGGGAGGGAGGGAGGGAGGGAGGGAGGGAGGGAGGGAGGGAGGGAGGGAGGGAGGGAGGGAGGGAGGGAGGGAGGGAGGGAGGGAGGGAGGGAGGGAGGGAGGGAGGGAGGGAGGGAGGGAGGGAGGGAGGGAGGGAGGGAGGGAGGGAGGGAGGGAGGGAGGGAGGGAGGGAGGGAGGGAGGGAGGGAGGGAGGGAGGGAGGGAGGGAGGGAGGGAGGGAGGGAGGGAGGGAGGGAGGGAGGGAGGAGGGAGGGAGGGAGGGAGGGAGGGAGGGAGGGAGGGAGGGAGGGAGGGAGGGAGGGAGGGAGGGAGGGAGGGAGGGAGGGAGGGAGGGAGGGAGGGAGGGAGGGAGGGAGGGAGGGAGGGAGGGAGGGAGGGAGGGAGGGAGGGAGGGAGGGAGGGAGGGAGGGAGGGAGGGAGGGAGAGAGGGAGGGAGGGAGGGAGGGAGGGAGGAGGGAGGGAGGGAGGGAGGGAGGGAGGGAGGGAGGGAGGAGGGAGGGAGGGAGGGAGAGAGAGAGAGAGAGAGGAGAGGAGAGAGAGAGAGAGAGAGAGAGAGAGAGAGAGAGTCGCGCACACGGAGAATGCAGTATACCGGTAAGAAGGTACAGGAAACAAAGGTGATTTTTCAACGGATACACTGCAGCGTTCTCACACTACCCGTCTACCTCTATCCACATACAATTGCTGGTGTGTTGTGCTAGCTTCGTGATATGTCTACCTAACTGCAAATACTATCGTATATTGTTTAGTAGCAAGTATGGGATGGGTGCTTGTTCATGTAGATAGAGGGCAAAATATCCTCCACTCTGCACATTACTCGCTCTTCAATACTCAGTGTTTGTTGTGCAAATATTTGTGTTGCATTCTAAGCACGTCCCAAGATTCACTAGTGAAGCTTACAATTAGCGGCTACCATTAAATTTGAGCAATCAATCTTAGCTAATAGTCTCATATTTGTCGACTGTTTTTATCCTTCGGGACGGGACTTCACGTAACGAGGTTTTGTCGGGTGTTCTCTCGGTGGTGGCGCCTTGCGTCTGGCGGCTGCCCGCAACTCTGTGATGGGTTTCGTATGGCGAAGTAGGTTGGCGTTGTGAAAAACAATACACCTAACCACCGCTATCTTCTTTCGGTCTATTTTCAACCCCCACGTGTGCAAAGGGGTATGTACCCTTTATTTATTTTGACCGAGGGTTGTGCCGGACGTCATACGCAGAGTTCCTTACTCTCGAATGCTACGCAACGGGATGTGCAACAGCAATTTCCGTCACACGAGCGGAAATTGTCTGACACTCGCCCTCTTGTCTGACGTTATTCATAGCCCCCCATATTTAGGTGTCTATTAGAAACCACCAAAATTTGGGCAGGGTTTATTTGAAAAGCGGGAACAGTGCCAATGTGAGAAGCTGAAAATAGCGGTGGATAGGACGTGGCCCAGACCGCTTCTGATTGCCTCGATCAGAAGCGATCAATAACTTCCACGAAGCCCCTTGGCCAATTTCATGCAATATGGGGCAATCAGTTGATTGCGATCAATTGATCGCCCCAACTCGATCAACCGCCTCAAAATCACACACAATCACGCACGATCAGTTGATTGCGTTGGGTTGCGGCCCTATGCGATGCCAACGAAAAGTTACAGTTTTCGTGTTGATTTCGAGCAGCCCTCGCCTTTCTCGAGCCGTCAGTTTGTGCTGTCCC